AATGTGGAGGAAGCTTAATAGGCAACTTAAATCTCAGTTTCTTTCCTTGTGAAATTGGAGTAAAAATAGTAACTAACAAGCTTTTTTGAGGGATAGATTAAATAATGTAACAGTGCCTAACACATCAGAAACCCTCAATAAATATTAACTATTACTAGCATGGAGTCCTTAAAATTTCTTCAGTTATGTTTTATTTAGCAAGGAATCTTCCTTTCTAATCAACTCTTTTTCAAGCTGGAAATTTATAAATTAGAGACTGAAGAAAATACAGGAAGCAGCTGAACCTGGTGCCAATGTTACTCCACCATTCCTAGGACACACAGATGGGAAACCCATGGGCTGCCAGCTAGCCCAAACAAATCCATCCCATGAGGTTTCCGCTGAAGCAGTAAACCCTGGCTAATTTCCTTGTTTCATTTTCTGAATATCTTTCATAAAATGAAAAAAAAGTGTCCAAACTCTTCTCCCAATCACACCTGAAGAAATTTAAAAAACTAATAAAAATAATAATAAACAAACCACAGATTGTAAAGCACCTCCCATTAAAAGACACTGTAGAGTAGATTAAGCTTCATGGTAAATGCACCTAACAGTAGTATTATCTTGATAAATAAGCCAAGACTGCAATGAGCTTGTGCTCTGATAATAAGTAGCATGGAACAACTGTCTTTTCTACAAAACCTTGGGATTTATGTCCAGTCTGCCTGCATCGGAAACTAGAGAATTAACTCATGAAGCCCATCCATCAACACGTGTAGAAAAAGGAATCACAGTCTAGAAATGAAATTAGCATGAAATTAGTTAGCTGTAGGACATAAATAGAGGCACTGACATTTTCCTGCATCTTCTCTATCAGATGTCTTTGGAGAACTCACCGTGCCGGGACTGTGGCTGATGGCCCTTGTGATTTATGTCAGCATTTCCTACTCCAGGCAGGTTGTTTGCAAAGTCCTTCAAGTAAAATTAAGAAGAATCAGGGAACAAATATAATTCTTCAAGAAAATAATATGATGATGGGAAGGCACTGCTTATACAGAATAGTCACTGTGTATCACTGTGGCCTCCAGAACAGCACATCACTGTATTTATTAATCCATTGCTACAGAGATTACGGCAATCTAACATGGAGCTCTAATGAAATTTTGGCACATTTGGAAATTGTAACTGTTGTTGCCCAAGGAGCATCTCAAATCAAACCCCCCTTTTACTGCAATTGCCTTTTCATGGGGTTTATCACATTGAGAAATGGACTACATGATATGTAGCTTTGACTACCCTGCATTAGTTGATCACGTACTATGGATGTGTATTGTACAGTGCATAAATCATAGGGGAGCTAGGATATGGGTGACATATAATTTAAACATGTAATTGGTGGTGCCTGGGAACTGGTAGTAAAAGAGGTAGACAAATGAAGGCAAAAGTCAAAGCGAATGGTTGGGAGAAGCCAGATATTTGCAACTAGATTAAAACAAATCAGTGAGGCATAGTGTTTAGAAAGAGTGCTATTCCACCATTCAAGGTAGTTTTTTTCATACTTCCCTTGGACCCTCTGAGGGCTACTTCTTGTCTTCTGTAATCAGATCCCCTTCAGTTTGAAGATGCACATTTGGGAGCAAAGGCAATTTAGTTCTATGAAGTCTTACTCTTTAAGACAAGCTGCATCTAAGATGAAACAGGACCATAAACTTAATTTAGCCAGCATTTAGACACATAGTGTGAAGTCAGAAGTTATAAGGTCTAGCTTAATATCTGTTACAAACTTGTTTTGAGAACTGGGCTGCCATTTAACTTATCAGTATCTCAGTTTCTTCACCTTCAAAATAGGATAATATAACCAGTCTTTTAAACACATTAATAAGAAGAAAACGAGATTTTATATGCTGTTCTAACTAGGATATTTGGGAGGCAAGAGGCAGAAACCTCAAAGATACCTTGGGGAAAAGGGTGTTTGTTTTTAAGATAGACATAGATAGGAATTCAAAATGGCAAAGGAGCAAGCACTAATTGAGTCAGTAAAGCTAATTTCCCATTCAAAAGTCATGTAGTCTTAGACTTCTTGTATCTCTTTCTCTCTGGAAGTCTGTTCCATCCTCTTTCTAACTGTGGAATCTCAGTGAGGTCTTCTCATGTATGTGTGGCCCTCAGTGGCTACTCTGGACTTGCATTTATCTCATGGCCTTTCAGCTGAGCTACTGTGGAAAGTCATCTAGCTTCCCACATCAGAGCCTTTGTATTTACACTTCTTCCTTCCAAAAATGCTCTTCTCCCAATTCTGCATTGCTTGGTCCCTTCACTTTATTTAAATCTGTTCAAATCTCATCTTTTAAAAAAGCCTTCCCTGACCACTCCAAGTAATATTATACCCTCTGGTAATCTTTTCTCCTTATCTACTTTTATTATCATAATAGTACCATCACTATCTAATATATATATATATATATATATATATATATTCATTTTTGTCTGCCTTCCCACTAGAAATGAGCTCAGTGACGATGGGAACTTCGTTGTCTTTACTGCAGTATCAACCTTGCTTAGGACAACATTTCACACAATAAATATTGATTGAATGTACATTTCCCCAGATATGTAATTCCAAATTTCTAAGTGAAGAATTAAAAGGACCCATTTCATTTTTTTCAATAGAAACTGCTCTAGTCAATTTCTGGCCATCCTGAGTTGCCATCGTTGGGTCAGCTGTCCACCTGCTTATTTATCACACAGGGCTGAGATAGGACCACTTCACATGGTACCATGGTACAGAGCACAGGTGCTTACAGCATGTGATGGGCAGATCACCCAGGCTGGGGCTAGAGTGGCCCAGTGCTAATGGCACGTTGGGCTTCACGAAGCACCAGCTCAGCTCTAATAGAAACAGAGAGGCCATATACCTTTGGGTAGAAATGTCAAAGTCAAGAACTAGATTGGTGCCTCTAGGGACTAGCTCTCTGGCCTCAGTCATAAATTTTCCTTAATTTTAATTTTTTTATCTGTGCTGTATTTTATATTGAAATTTTATGAGCAATTAATAATCATGGGTAATATTTTTTAAATCCCCCACGTCTGCCATTTATATGAGCATATTTATGTAGCTTAACTCCTGGAATCCTCATGACCATCCTCAGACATTGGTACTGTGATTATCTTCATTTTGATGAACAAATCTGAGAATAGAGAGAAAATAAGTTTCTCGAGATTGCTTAGTGAGTAATTAATGATACCAGGATTTCAGCCCAGGGAGTCTGTCTGATTCTACCTCTCCATCCAACAAAACTATTTCAGACATTCATTCCCCTGTGGGGCTTAAGCAAGAATTTTTATGTTCTTAGAAATAACATTCTGATATGGTAAATGCATACAAATAAATATGCTTCTAAAATGACAAAATATTCTGTGTAGGCTATTCTTGTGAAACAAACATTTAAAATACCTTAAATATACATTTTGGGTCTGTGCAGTTTCACAGACTTAAGATCTAGTATTCTCTATGACCTTTGCATCTGTTTTTATTGATGCACACCAGAAATTTTTTTTTAATTTTGCCCAAATTGGCATAGTTTCTGATTAAGAAAGTTGCCAAATCTTATAAAAGGGAAATTTCAAGGCCCTAAAATGCTGTGCTCCACTTAATGTTTTCGGATTTTGGCAATGCTCCCTAACTACACATTTGAAAAAGTATCAGAACCACTTTAAGGTTTATACTGATAACTAAGGGCAACAAAAATTTTGCTGGCTTCCTTGAGCTAGGGTTACAGGAATATAAATACATAAATATAAGACAGATATTTTGAGAAGAAAAGAATTCACCCAACACCCATTACTTAGCATCTTCCATAGGCACAGCACCATGTTAAACACTGGGAGGTACATAATGATGTATAAAGCAACATTCCAAGTTCTTGTTGCATATTTTTTTTTCTGAACCACAGGAACAAACCTGAAAAGTCAATTATGTGACTGCCCCAAATCCTTTGTAATACCATGCCGTGCAAGCAGTAGCCAGGAGTTCCAACCCTTGTCCTTATATATATAGATCTCCACCACCGACTGGTAGTACTCACGGGGATTCTCTTTTAAAAAAAGCTTGAATATTCTCATCACATTAAACAGAAGCACTGAGAATTTATATATCTTTGTATTTTATAGTAAGTGCTGTGTAGGGATGAGAAAAGACTATATTTATAAATATCCCTGGTCTTCTGAGTAGCATGTTTGTTTTAAACATGAACTTTTTAGAATAGGCCTTAATTTGCTCTGTAGAATCTTGATTTCCATTCTTTGGGGAAAGTTTTTCAAGGTTGTCATGGCCCCTGTCCCATCAATCATGTGTGCCTTCATGGATTTCCTTTGTCAGTAGTATGTATCAGTATGATTAATGGTTCAGGGTTCATATTCAGGAATCTGATTGGATAAGTGTCATTTCATTCGTTGGAACTTATAATTCAGAAAACATTGATGAAGTTGTCCAAGAAAAGAGGGCAGTGCAAGTCAGTTTCTTTATTATGAACAACAAAGCTTGGTCATTTGTTAGTATAAATGGGCTTTGTTCCCAGTGTGTTGTTCCCTGGGCCTCTGCTAGGTTAGGGAGGGGCATTAACTAGTAAGTGTCTACACTGTAGCTTTAAGTGGTAGCTTGGTAACATCCGAGAGTGAATATCATGCTGTGGTGAAGGCTTCATCACTGGGAGAATGAGGGTTCGTGAGCTCTTCAGTAAAATCCTACTTTTGTTCTGTTTCTAACAGGGAGTAATACTTATTCACTTACTTAAAAAAATGTATTTATGAATTGTAAATTACTTAATTTCTTACTTTTATAAAAAGAGCACTGTTTTTACCAGAATGATTGATGTTTATTATTAAAGATGAAATAGGGAATCAAATGAATTTTCAAAAAAGTCCCCTGAAATCTTACTGTCCAAACATGACTCTTGGTCTTAGAGGAAATCTTAAGACAGAGGGACATAGGGACTATAGAGTATTGAAATAGATTCAAGGTCCTTCAGAAAGTTAGTAAATGATAAAAGATGCATTTTAAATATGTGAAGTTTTCCCCCCCCATTTTGTTGATACAGTTAACTATCTTTTTGAAGAAAAACAGCTTGTTCTCAATCTCACTTTTTACCTTTATGTAAATTTCAAACATATCAAAAATATATTTTTTAAACAGTGATACTATAAAATGATTATAATAAAATATATTGATATTTTGAAACCTTTTAAAATGTGTCAGAAACCCAGGAAAAAAAACTAAGTTTGACTGAATAAAATAGAAAAATATTAATGTATTGAAAAACAAACAAAACACCATAATATTATAGTTAAATAGCGAGAAAACAAAATGAGAAGAAATGGAAGACATGATAAAGAGTTAATTTTGCAATATTCTAAAAATGCTTAATTTGAGTAATCAATAAAAATGAGATAGAAACTGCTAGAGGAGTGTACAAAGACAAAAACTTCTTCACAAAAGGGGAAAAATCAAATATATATTTCCTTAGTGTTCAAAGTATTGATAAATATATACTTTACTGGTATTTAAAGAATCCATACTACATACTTCGTAAATATTCTATAAAACTCCTGTACAATCAGAAAATAGAAAGGATTTTATTGTCAATAAGCCAATGAAACTTAATTTTCTCCTTTTTCCAGGTTATGTGGTATTTAGCCTTCCTGTAGTCTCTTTACCTGGAGAAAGGATCAGATAAGAGCAAGAGTATCATGTACAATTCTACATGTATGTCTAGGAAGAATGTCTTGGAATTTTCTAGATTTTACACAGAAGAGACAATGCTCTATGTTATGTGTTTATAATTTTAATACAGAAATAAATGAATGATCAACACTGTTCAAAATATTTTTGAATATACCCTCATGGATTGATATTTATGCCTCAACCACTATGAAACTCAGACTATTATTAAAAAGAACTTTTCCCTCTTTCTTTACACTGAATTCAGGTTCTTGTAGGTCTTTCATAATTTCTGCTTTGAGATCAGGTGGTGCTGTTCTACTAAAGTTGCAGGTTTCTGTCAAAAAATCCCATAGCAGGTCTCCATTTTCATTGCCATCAATAAAACAGTCAGATATGTCCATGGTGGATAGAAGGTTGTAACATTCATACTTAATTCCTGACTTCTCCAGCATCTGAGTGAGGTCAGAAGATGTTACATACTGGCAGAGGTCATCCCGTGGCAAGCGGGATCCGTACTTTCTCCATAGCTTGTCCCATCCACTGGTTCCTGTATGATACAACAAAGTTCATGCTTTCATTTATTCTTCTTTTCATTTCCCTTTTCTGCCAGGCAGTACACTAGATGAGTGGAATAGAGCAGTCCAAAAAAATATACTCTTGCCTTTGTATAGCTTAATTCAAGAAGTGCAGGGAGGAGGAAGTTAAATAAATAAGTAAATTAATCATATATCAGGTGGTGCTAAGTACTAGTGACAAATCAAATCAGAGCAAAGAATAGGGAGAGTCAAAGAATTGGATGGATTACTGTTGGATATAAGGTGGTTGCAGAATCTAATAATGTGACATTTGATCAGAGACATGACAGCAAGCCATGAAGAGGGAGGATTATTCCAGGTAGGGAGGAGAGCAGCTGCAAAGTACCTGAGGCAGGAACATGCTTGACATCTTAAGGACTAGCCAGGAAGCCAGTGAGATTGGAACTGAGCGAGCAAGGGGGGGAATGGAAGGAGAGGAGGTTGGCTGGGTGGAGGTGGATAGAATGCCTAATCACCTGGGGCAAGGTGGAAAGCCATTGCAGTGTTGTCTAATAGAACTTTCTGGACTAGTGGGCATGTTCTATATCTGCACTGTCCAATATGGTAGCCACCAGCCATTTATGATTATAGAGCATTTGAACTCTGACTAGTGTGACAAAAGAAATGAATTTTAAGTTTTGTTTCATTTTAATTCATTAACATTTCAATTTCAAAAGCCAAATATGGCTTCCATATTGTACAATACAACACCAGAGTGACTTAACCTGATTTACATTTTAATAAGATCACTTTGGTGGCACAGATAAGAATAGACCTTTGGGACACAAAGGCAGAAGCAGGGAGAACAGTAAGAAGGCTACTGGGACAACTGGATGACAGATGATGGTAATTTGGACGTGATGAGGGGGGTTAGATTTTTTATATATTGCAGTCCTAGATGCAATGGGTTTTGCCAACAATTTGGATATTGGGTGTGAGTAAAAGAAGACAGTCAGTGGTGACCCCAAGATTCGGCCTAAGCACCTGAAAAAGAATTGCCACTACTGGAAATGGGAAGAATGAGGAAAGAGCAGTTTTAAGTGTATCATCAGGTGTCCAATTTTGGAAAGTGAATTAAGGCGCCTATTGAACATTCAGATGATGACAGAAGGAAGGTAGTTGTTTATGTTAGTCTTGAGTTCAGAGGAGAGGTTCTAGAGCAAAAATTCAAATGTTAAGAGAGAGCACAGTAAATACAATGATGCTTTACTCAAACCAACAATAGGGTGGCTTCTTATGTCTATTCATTTATAAGTTGGATTTGGACTACCAATATATGTTGATTCCTACAAAGTTTGTCCCCAATCTCAGATGTTTTAGCAATGTCTATTATATTTAATTGAAAACCTAGCCCAGCATAGAAGCTAAGAGACGCAGCATCAGAGAGAGAGAGAGAGAGAGTCACAGGTTGGATTATTCTGCTACTTCACCAATAAGGTGAGGCTTGTTATTTAGTCTCTCCGAACCTCAGTTTTCTCATCTATAAAATGGGGACAGACATACTTACTTTGACTGTAACTGCAAGTACCAAATGAAATCATTTAAGTGAATCATTGCACAATGGCAGATGGATAACAAGTCTTAAAAATAACCAAACATTCTATGGAATGAGTTTGATAATGTATTTCCACTGGTTCTAACCTTGAAACTATGATAAAGCAAACTTGCTCTTTAGAAATCTATAAAAATAACAAATTTAATGAGTATTTGTGGACCTCCTAGTACATGCATGTAATCGTGGAATGTTACATACACAGTCAATATTGTGCAGTAATTAAGAGGGTCTCTAAAGGCCAACTGCATGAGTCTGAAGCCTGGCTGTTCCTCTTGCTAGCTCTATGAACCTGTGCCTCAGTGTTGTCATCTATGAAACATGGATAATAAGAGAATCTATTCATAGAATTGCTGTAAGAAAAAGTAAACACTAAGAACCATGACTGGCACATAATAAGTACTGTTGAAGTGTTAGGGAATTAAGGCGGACTTGGCCAAAGCAACATAGGAGAGAACATATTTTTTATGAGTTTCCAAGATTAAAAGTGAAGATTTCAAAGGCTTATACTTTTTGGATTTCCAAACCTCCTTTATGACCTAATGGAAGTAAATGACTCTCCTGAAAAGTACTCAAACAATATATACCCACACAGTTCTGATTGTAACTATGGGATGCTCAAAGCCCCCTGCCCCTCGCATGGAGCAGGCTTAAGTTCCCTGATTTAGCTCAACAGAAGAGACCAGAAAGGGAGTAAATGGTAAATAAGAAACAGCCTAGATAACCGGTGTTCCTCTAATATATCAGAAGAGGAAGCAGTAAGTGCAAGATGTGCTCTAGGAGGAGGTAGAATTGGAATGAAGCAGAAAAAAATGAAGTCTCTGCCCAATGAAGAAAAATGAGGGTCATGAGTATGTATTAAAATATCTTTCATTCCAAAGACAGTGATTGCCCAAATAAGAGTTTGCCTACAAGCAAGATTTTAGGAGAAAATAAATATTTCAATGGTTGAGGAGAGGCTTTGTTATATCATTATTATCATTTTTAACCTGGCATAAAAAAAAACCAAATGCTAATTATAGAAAATGTGGTGGTGTCAGTGTTCTGTGACTTGGTGCCTTTTCTGAGCTGAGCTATTATACACTTTCTGACTGATGCATTATCATAATGGCTCTCAGTGGGCACAACATATGGTGTTACTTTTATTTTCAGCATGATATAAAGCAGATTCTTTCCCCCCACTGTATTAAAAATAACACATTATGATTTGCCTCCTTTCTTAGTCAGGTAAGGGGAGGAATGGACTGAAACTTTAGTGGATCTCCTTCTGGCTCATCTCCCTTAACCAGGCAAGCTACATTTTAATTAGCAATTCTCTCAACTAATTCCTGGTTACTACCTTTGCAGAAAAACATGCTGCTGATATAATTTTAGGTTAAGCTATTCCTCATTTTAAAAATATACCTCTAATTATTCTTATTTCTCTTCTTTTTTCATCCCCAAATCAAATCTTTTATCTTTATAATTGGGAACTTCTGCTAGCTCTAATTAAATGAATACTCATTGAGCTGGGCAGGTTCTGTAACCGATACGTAGAACACAGAGGAAAGTCTCTCTTCCCTAAGCAACATGTGTTCTAATAGGCTGACCAGTAAATGCTGTCATTTAATTCTGATTTCAATTTTTCTTTTCCTACTTAGTTTCACTTGCCTTCCCTTTATTGCTTTTGTCTGCCTATTTCAGTGTGCACTGTGTGTGTATGTGAATGTGTATCTTCTTTATGAGCATTTTATTCCAGTTTAGATCTCCAGAACTTTCTATATTCTCTGACTTTATGTCAATCATGTAGAAAGTTTTCTCTACAATTTGGCCTTTTTTTGGATGGACATTCAGAACTAGTTGTAGTTTAGATATTATAAGGAGATATAAGAAGCAGTTATTCAGTTCAATTGAAACATATTTGTTGGGTATCTTTTTGGTCAAAGGCTTTGCAAAGATCTGGGACTAAAGATAAGAGGCAGATCTCCCTGATCTCAAGGAACTATCCTTAAACTCTCATATGCCTTTGATAAGAAACTCAGCACACTGCCAAAAAAGTGTTTACATGTCTGAATCCTTTGAAAGGCAGAGGAAAAGTAGTGGTCGTCTTTGTAACCTTCAGATCCTAGCAGTGACTATCTATAAGAGCTCAATAAAGTCTGAATGAACCAAATCTATACAATGATTCTCCTATGCAGTCTGCAGGGTACTAAGAGTAGAGGCTGTGTTTTGAATATGGCTGAACAGACATGGTACTTTAGCTAAGCAGGTGCTCTGCATAAATAAATATAGAAACTGACCTCTTACTTCATTATCTTACATTCTAATAAAATGCAAAATGACTGTCCATATGGTACTTGAATAACAGTAATTCAGTCTACACAGAGAAATAACTCATCATTTCAGTAATAAGTCAGTGTCTGACTAGGATGGACAGACAACAGCCTTAACTGTGTGGCACATTTAAGATGACCCTTTAGAACAAGATGGTAATCCAGATATACCATTATCTGCTTGGATGAGATACTGACCAGATGAGTGCTCTCAGAAATTTAAGTTAGTGAGTAGTTCCAGGCTTGTCTGAATCTGTCCATAATGAGCAATGAGTTTTCTGCATTGCAGTGTAGCTAAGGATGACGACATAACCCTGTAGTGAAGGAAATACACAAACAGGCTTCTTTGTTGCTATGTAATTATGAAGTGAATCTCACTTGAAAAGTGACTGCAAGAAACTAGGTAAAAAAAGAACCATTTTGGTGTAGGTATTCCAAGTTTAAGGGAAATACTCAAGTTTAGAGAATGTTTTCTTTAGGCAAATATGGAAAATAGGGTTTCAGGAATTACAGTTTGGACTGAGAAGGCAGTTAAGGGCAACAGTTTTTATACAGGGGCAAGGAGGGAAGTGATTGAGCACTTCACATGAGCTGGAAGCTGTTTCACATTGGTCTGTTGTCAACAAACTGGTCTGGCAGACACGGATTTGAAGTGATATCAAATGAAAAAATGACTAATAAAAATGTGGATTGACAATATAAGACAAATATGATTGGGAATTTCTTATGATTAAATTGGTTTTCACTGTTGGAAACTAACCATAATCTATTTTTCTAAAAACTTCCCCATATATTTAATTGGCATTATTAATGCAACAAACCCTCTGTTTTAAAAGAAAGTAAGTTACAGCCAGTTCTATACACTGAGGGAGCCTTAGAATTTATCTGAAGGATATATACTGTTGTTAAAGCATGTTCATAGGTGCACAGGTTTATCTACATAAGAGAGGTAGATCAAAAGGGGGTTAAACTGCTCTGTGTAATAAATAAGGGGGGAGGGAAGGGAGTAGGATCAAGGGAGCTCAGTCTCGACTGAAAAGGAGAAACAATAAAAAAGGTTGGCTGTGGGTCTCTGATGCTGAATTCTGTTTCTGCTGTTCTTCCTCCCCATAGATCTCAACGTCTCCTAAAATCAAAGAATGGTGTTTCAGAGAATGAAGGAAGTAGGGTTATGTCCATGGTTGAGGCACAATAGAAGAGATTCAGAAAAGATAGCTGGAGCACATGCAGGGTTTGGAGATCAACTGAAAGTTGAACCGGTAGCAGAAATTTGGAGTAAACGGACTGGCAACTATTAGGAGCACATAAGCATGACCTTCAGGAATCCTCAGGAGTCATGGGGTGAGGAATGGACTATACAAGTTACCTGGATGAGAGCTTTATAGTCATTTACTGTGAATTTTTAAGCGTTAGGTATGTGTCCACAGCCAGGAATCTGGAGACATTCAGGTTATATACACTAAGTTGATGACAAGGATCAACATATTTGAGAATTTTATTTCCTTTTCAAGTAGAATATTTTTTTAATTGCAAAGACTATATTGAACAGGTGATATTTTTTAAAATTTTACTTAATTTACTTATTTAATTCTTCCAATAAATAAAGGTAATAAAGCTATCACTTTTAGTCTTAGGAGAGAAGTGGATAGTCCAAAATAAAATACCTAAATCCTATTTTCTCCTTTGCAAAATTGGTTATTTAAGAAGAAATGTACACACATGTATATTTCTTCCATAGCTCTATAAATCTTTTAGGAAAAAAGTGAGTATGGTAAAGGAAGGAAGTCATTAGAGTCCCTTTAATAATTCAACAACTGTTATTTTTTGCATTCTTATGTCTAGGAACAGTATCTATTAACAATGTTTTTCTTTTTTGGGATTCCTTTCTCCCACAGTATATGCAGTAATGAAGAATTGTGAATTGCACACTGAAAAAATTAGTAAAATATTTCCACTATCAAACTACAGTAATTGAGTAATTTTTGACTCAAAAAACTTTTTTTAAAAAGGTAACTGATTTTTGAGGCCTTATTCCATTTATTTGATTTTTCCCCATGAATATATATATATACATAGTACATATGAGCCACATTTATTCAGACATGCAATATGATGTAAGTATGATTATCCAGAAATGTCCCAACTAAGACTCACAGACTAACTTCACACAGGCTAGGAAGTGCCTCAGCATTCTTGGTTCATGTATCAGTGCACATTTCACTGTGCCTGTTTTTGGTTTGCACATTTCTTGCCAATAAACCATGGATTATATTCACTTATTCATGATATAGCCAGTAGAATACTGTATCCATATACTGACTATCCACTTAGTCAGTTCTCAGGTGCTTATTTCTAACCATGCTATTTTCTAACTTTAGGTTGGCTTTTTCTGATTGGTAGACATACAGAAAACTTTGAACACTCAAATACTTCTGAAATATTTAAGAATTAAAGAAATATAAGTAAGAGTAGATCTGCTATTGATATGAAATATATTCTCAAACATAAACGACTTCTGGATTAATTGCTATTTCTATCTGCAACACCTTTTCTGTATTATTGATACAAATTATCAAGAATAGACTACCCTCAATATTGATAACTAAGTTCATTTTTATATTCCTAAATGCAATACCAAGTGTTTCACCCAAGTGTCTTAATTTAGAGAGAGGTTAGCAGGAAGCATCCAGTTTACATAGCCCTTCTAAATGGGAAGACAGAACTTTCCCACATAAATGAGTATTTTTAACTAAACAGAGATAAATATAGTATATCAAAATGTTCCCTTGGGGAAGAAGTTGTGTACAGGATGTTTCATTTGCCAAACTCTCACATGAATTCAAACTCAGGATTACAGGCAACAACCTGTTTGCCATCCCCAAGCCATTCCTCATATTTAAGGGCAATATAATTTTGTGGTATAGGGTTTTTGAATATTCGGTCTGGTATAAGCTTAGGAAGATAAACATGTTATGTATCTAGAATTAATCTGCCGAGCACTGCATGGACAATCCATAAAGACTGCTGAATGAAGGAAGTAATGAGTTAACGAATTCAACAATGTTAATATTTAATTTTCTAACATGTTTATTTATGTTCTCTGTATAGTAATTATTATATCACTGGAAGCAACATGACATGATCAAATGCCTACTTAAGAAAATAAAACAATAGCATCAAACAAAACAAGTGAAACATCTTTGATAATTACTTGAGGAAACCTATAAAGAATAATATTCATAATGGCTCTAGAAATGCAAATTTATCAAACATGATGGCATCCCAAATATTTATAGCTTTATTTACTTATTAATAAATATCATACAGGGGAAAGAGATATTCAAGGGACAAAAAGAAGGTAAATAGAAGTATTTACTTTTTTTAGTCTCATTAAAATAATTCCTATCAGTTATATTTGTTCTATGTAAGATAAACAACAAAGAAAAATTTTCCCAGGAGAAAGAAGTGAATTGATATGTAATTCCTTTAGACCCCGTAAGCTGAGAGCTATTGTGAAGGACTTCCCTAATTCTATGTTAATTAACTGATTATGACCAGAAGCCAAGTCAAGAATTTCATCATGAAAATGTAATACACCAGCTGCCTTCAAACACATGCATCCATACATACATGCACCATTACTGTTTTAAAATTCAGGCTGAATGAGAATAATTTACCTGATACGAGAATAATGAGAATCTTAGCATTGGTAGCTAAGAGACTATGGAAGAATTTCAAGGTAGCTGGGATATCTTTTACATAATACAGCATCTGGAAATGAAGGAAAAGAGAAATGAGACACTTCTGTATGTCAATGTCTTTATTGCTTGAACTAGATACTCACTGGAAAGTTTGACTTTCAAGTTAAGTGGATTTTTACTCTACAAAACATTTAAAATTTTTGAAAATTAAAGACATATGGAAAAAGAGAATAACATGAGAAAATATTCAAGGGAAAACTATGGTATTTGTTTAACTAGAGCCAAATAATTTTAAGTTTACTCTTTCTGGCTTCAGAAACACAGACCTTTATAGCTGGAGACATTTAGTTTCCACTCCACATGGGGGCATTAATTCCAAGCTTATACTGTATTTTGTGAATTGTGGTTCTGGGAGAAAATGGTGCTGGAACCATAAAAACAGACCCCATTTCATGGAACACTGCTTTAAAATTAAGCCCTTTGCACTAGCTTCACCATATGCTCACAGATGCTTTTTTTAAAATCACAGAAATTGTGACAGGCTGTGATGTTGACAGATTCTCTAGAAAAATGGACTGGATAAAGCATGAAGTTACATGCATGGTCACAAGGTGGTAGGGGTCAACACACCCACTTTTAATAACTCAGGGCCATCTCTGGTGAAGTGCAGAGAGAGGTCTTTCCACCTAACACAGATAGAGCATGGAATTATACACTGGCAGGAAAATTTTCCCTAATGGCTTACATCCCTGGAACCTATCCCTACAGAAACTTCCTGCTTATATCTCATCTTCCATGTTTCTTGGACAAGAACTCAATATTCCACATAAATGTTCATACTAGAATTTATTACATAAAACAAAAATAACTTACACTATGTGCTTCTCACATGAAAGAATGAAATAAAATGGAGTTGCACATGGCCCACGCTGCCTCAGCTGCTCTATTTAGTTATCATGTCATCCCATGCTGTCCATCATAGGGACCGAACATACATATGTGCCCAGATACAGCTAATATATGAAATGGCTACAATCTATGGCATGAGCTGGCTAAAAAAGATGAGGTGGGCCACAGAAGGTGCTCAAGTTGATCTAGCAGACATTGTAGTTCCCTGCAGTTGACTGTGAATATTCAGTTAAAAGCATGTCACAAGAGTGTGAGGACTCTAAGGAGCAGTGAAGGGACAGAAGCATAACACAGGAAAATGCAGAGTGAATAAAGAAAAAAGGAATAGGATAGTGATGCAGAGGAAGCAGAGAGTTGCTCTAAGAAAGGAAGAAAATGGAAACTTTGAGAGAAATGGAAGAATGATTTCTGCAGTTACATTTCTTAACAGGTAAAGAATGGCATCCAGAGCGTAAGTGGAGGGATTGGATTTTGATAAAAGGAAGCTTTTGTAATAAGATGAAAGAAGGAGGTGGTGGGCACAGGTGCAGCTGTGTTTGTAAGTTTGGATGGTGAAAGATGGGTTTCCATCTGAGGGTTCTCTTGCTATACAGTATGAAGTGAGGTCATCAGTTGGGAATGAGTGAAAGGGCAGGAGTTACATGAAGTGTACAGAGGAGAAGGAAGTATAAAATCATTGTATCATGACAGGGAAAGCAAGTCTAATAAGAAACATAGGCAATGTAAAGCATTCCCTTTAGGGTCAGCTGAGAGAGCAGAGCTGTAGGTCAGGGGTCAGCTGAGAAAGCAGAGATGTAGGATTGCCTAGATAAGCCAATCTTGAAGTCATTTTGTGCTTTGATGTCTTTTCCCTGGGGTGACTGTACATGTAGGCTATAGAAAGAGAGAAGCATCTTGTTGTTAATCATGCAGTATTTCCAAAATATACATATCTTCCAACAGTAGCTGACACCCAAAGCCTGTACACCCATATGCTATCCAGAAATACCAGTGATTCCTGGAAATATGTCCCCACACCATCTACTGGATAGTCACTCCTTTTCCAAGAAATATATAGTGTTCAACCATGGGAATAAATTTCTCCTGAGGGGCTGACTGAAACCAGTAAATTTGTATTGATCTATCTAAACTGTCACATGCATATGAGCTCAATCATCAAAAGACGGTAAAAGCAATAGGACACAGAGAAACTCTGGGACATTGGTCCATCCAGAGCATCAGAGCTGCTGGAAAGCAGACTAGGATATGTTACAATCTGCTCTCCTCAAATCTAAGAACCTTCAATTCTATAAAGATTGATTAGGCCAATACTGAAAAAAATCAGTAGCTGGAGGTGTTATGAGTGGAGAGTAGTGTTATGAGTGGCTTTTTGATGTAACAAAGAATTTCTTAGAATTATCAATATCAACATCTTTATCCAGATAAAGATAAGGCTCACTTGTAAAATCAGAAGTCTAATTTTCATTTTTCTTTTTAAAGTTAGAATATTAGGCACTCTTCATACATTATTTCTTAAAAGTCTCCTTTCTGGAAGTGTAAAACAGTAAATATTTCTTACTTGAATCATATGAATAAAGTCCCACTTCTGAACTTCTTTTTTCTCCATCATTCTATTTTGATATTCAGATGATGTCTCCTTATGCCAAGCAAACTTTATGTTCTCGAGGTTTGATGTCTTGGCTACAAGCTCTAAAATATAGAGAAGAGGTGGCACACCATCAATTTTAATTGCAAATGAGGAACCGATTTCCATTTCAAATTTTAATGCAATCAATGTTATATACATAACAGATATAAAGCATATTTTTCTTTTTTATGTAGCTCCGGAAGACCATAGAGTTCATCCTGATTTTTTTCTAGTATTATATGAAATGAGACATAAAATAAAGAGTCAAAAAGAAATAATTATGAGAATGCTGATCAGACATAGGTTACATTTTCTTGGCATTAAGGGGGAGTCAACTGGTAAAGCTTATTAGTGGAAAGTTGATGTGAAATAGGTGATAGGATTCTGTAACCTAGGAGTCAGCAAACCATGGTCCAAGGCCCACATCTGGCCTACCACCTATTTTTAAATGGACCACAAGATAAAATAACATACTATTCTATTTCCTGACTGTTTTTCCTTCATAATTTTTTATTGAAGTATAGCTGGTAAACAATATTATATTGGTTTCAAGTATACAACATAGTGATTTATCTATATTATTAAATGCTTACTCCAACTAGTGTAGTTACAATCTGTCAAAAAAGAAAGATGTTACAGACTATTGACTATATTCTCTATGTACTTTCATCACTGTGACTAGTTTATATTATGATTGAGATTTTGAGCCTCTTTATTCCCTTCACCTATCACACCCACTCACCCCAACCCCTCCCCAATGTAACCACCAGTCACTTTTCAGGGTCTAGGAGTTTTTTGCTATTTAATTCATTTTTGTTTTTATTTTGTCTTTTGTTTTCACATTTCACATACAAGGGAAATCATGCCTCTGTCTTTCATATCTGGTGCCATCACACTTTTAAATGGTTGAACACAGCCAAAAGAAGAATAATATTTTATAAGATTTGAAAATGACATAAAGTTCAAATTTTATTTACAAATAGAGTTTTATTGGAAATATCTATACTCATTAGTTTTGGTATCATCTATGGCTGCCTTTATGCTACAATGGTAGAGTTTATTAGTTGTGATACAAATCGTGTGGCCTTGTGAGTCTAAAATATTTACTATTTGGCCTTTTTCAGAAAAAAGTTTGCTGACTCCTGTTACAACCCATGAAACATAAGCTCTTTAAGGGGAAGGATTCTGTTTGAGTATTTCTGAATGAATTAGTGATTTTTGTTTCCAAACATTAACATCAAAAATAATAACTGATGACCGAGGATGGATGGAGAGTCAGTACAAATGGAGTCTAATTATTCACTGTTCATATTCTAAGATGTTTAGTCATGCCTGCCAAGAAAACAAAATAGCCTTACAAAGAACATAGCACCATAATTATGTTGTTAATATTTAAAAGGACAGGTTTGGGATGATAAGCCTTTTGAGACAGGGTGTGACACACAGCACCACAGGTCACAGTTAACCTTTGTACTTGGTGATTTGTTCAGCACTTGGTTCAATGACTTCATTGTTGATATGAGCTCCCGGGTATTGAGCTTGCACTTTAGAGAGAATTTGAAGATCAATTTCACCTAGAAGACAAGCATATGGAACAGATCATATCAGTCCACAAAGAAATGATTAAAAATAATTTGAGCTGGTTTATTATCTGTCCTGCTTTTACTAGGAAAGCCCAGAATAAAGACTAATACTCAACTGTTGTCCTGCCATAATGTCTATGAGGCAGAACACTTGTAAGTAGGAATACTAATGTTATCTGAGAAGGGCTATGACTGATTTTCATTCACTCACAGAACCTTTATTTAACATCTGTTATCCTATTACATTAAATCTAAAATGTCATTGATTGAAGAACACAATCAACCCTTTTTTTTGTATCACTAAGTCAGAAAAAACATTGTCAATTATAATTTTAAGATTTCATCAACTGGAGATTATATCCCAGTTTTAAAGATATTAAAATATGAAAAAAAATTCACTTTAGAATTGATAAACTAGGCTAGGCTAGAAGCATACAGAAAAACATGTCAGATACAAAATATGTCAAATACAAAAGGAGATACAAAAATATGTCAGACACCTGCCTCAAAAACATCATGGTGTAGTGGAAGAGAAAGACATGGAAAGAACTCTGGCTGAGTTTGGCCAAAGTGTGAAGAGGGAAGGAGAAAGTGAGGGATAGGGTAAGAGGAGAGGTCAGAGAGATGGAAAGTTTCATGGAAGGAGATCACTCCTGAGCTCTATGTCACAGAGTAAATGGAAGGTAGCCCAGAGACTTCTGGGGGAAATGAGCAACTGCAACTACAGAGGACAGGAAGGCTGAGAGATGAAGTTAGGAAGCAAAACAGTATCTGTGGAACAACCAGCAAGAGTTTTGCAATATTAGGCAAGGCAGGGCCTCCAAGAAAGAAGTGATCACAGATAAATGGAGAGGAGATTATGGCAGAATAGATATTTATTCATTAATTTATTCACCAACTATTAACTGGTTGTTTACTATGTGCCAGGCACTGTACAAGGCTCTAGCAAATGATGGTAAGAAAAACACACAGATACTTCTCTGATGAAACTTTAGCCTGAAAGTGACTAAATGAGACAGATGTTGGTGAGCTACAGGCTTGAGTTCCAAACCTGTCTTCTCCACTTACTAGGTGTATTTGACCTTTGGCAGTTTGCTTTATTTCTGCAAGCTTTATTTTCCTCATCAGAAAAATAGTCATAATAATAGCATGTAATTTATTGGTTATGAGGGTTAAATGAGGTAATGCCTATAAAGCACAGTGCAAAATAGAGTTGGTGCCCAATAAATGCTAGCTATTCATTATTTTTGTTGTCAGAGTCCTCACTGAGTCCCTGTCTTTAAAATATTTCTTCTCTCCCTGTTGCTGATGTCTCTGTCTTAAATTTCACACATTTATACTCTTAGGTTATAATTTTGACCTTCATTAAAATAGACCTCTGTGTTAGCAAGATTAGCAATGAAAATGATGTTGGTCTTTAACATTTTGTTATAAATGACATGAACAGAACCTTTCCAAGGTTAGATATGGCAGGCAGCAAAGACATGAGTCATAAGACTGGGAGATCTGGAAGGAAGGAGATGAGGAAGATAAATCAGCAACAAAAGGTGCTAGACTCAAAGAAGAGGGCAGCCTGATGGAACAGAGAGAGCCCCATAAATGGGAGTAACAGGAATGGGAGCTGAGGGGCTGGGGGAGGAGTGAGAAGAAAGGTGAGAAGGAGAGTGAAGGAACCGGAATGACAGCGTTCTCTAGAGCGGCCCCACCAGCAAGGAACCTTTTATTTTTTCCTGAATAATTCTAGCTGCCATTGATTGGCCACCGACTGCTTGTGAAAGACTGTGCTAGGCTCTTTGCTTGGAACATCTCACTTAGTTCAAGGGTATCTTGAACTCCACAATGTTATTCCCAACCAGATAAAGTGATTTGGGTTACTTGATATTTGGTGTAGTTAATATTAATCATTATTTGACGTAAATATGTTTAAAGTTTAAGGCACATTTGTCTCTAAAATGTTTGTTCTTCTAACTACTTCATGCTAAGAAATGGGAGGATACCAAATTCTAAAAGGACATAAGGTTTTTTTTTTCTTTTTTTCCTTCTCTACAGTAACTATTTTTGAAGGATAAAAAATAGCTAAGGTAAAAGGCTGATGAGAAAAACTGTGAGTTAATGAGAAGTAGATTCCAGCTTCCCTGAGACAGAAGCCAAAAGTTCTGTTATTGTCTCTGTCAGCCTGGCCATGTATGTTAAACTAAAAAATCATCAATTCTGAGGATCCCAAATCCAGCATTCTGAAACTCAGTTAAAATGCAGTAATGTATCCACTGTGGCTTGATGAGCTCTTCCTCTCCTAATGGACCCCAATATTTTAGATCTGCTCAAATGGCAGCATGTATCTAGCACACCTCCAGGGCATGTTCCTATCTTGTTACTTTCCCAGCCAGCAGAATGTTCTCCCACAGTCAGTGCCAGCCAGCGTTCCCTCCTAGGATAGTGGTGGAGGACATGATGTTAGAATTGACACTGAAATGTGGAAACCGTAGGGTCATATAACAGCCTCTAGAGTGTGAGCCCATGGGCAGACATGAACCATCCATGCATTCACCACTGGATCCCTAGGAGCAATTTGTAAACAAGAGGAGATAATGAATCGATTTCCTCAGGAGTTAACACATAAAATCCACTTCCACCTTCCCAAGCCAGGTGACCGTGCCTCCTGCTGGACAGGGAGAGTCCCAGTTTATGCTCACTGTGCTGGTGTCCCATCTCGTTTTGTTTCTTATCCCACACTTTTTTACTGTTAGCAAACTATTATTAGAAATTTATTTTTGAAAAGATTTTTTAAGAACTATTTAATAAATTGACCACTATAATAAAAATTTGTTCAATAAATAAATATTTCAAAGACTATAATTTTAATTTTTACCTTCTCCCTCCAACTCTCACTTTTAAAAGTATCCTGCAGTGGGCTGTGCTCATAAGGCACTTATTTTCTTTGCTATGTTTGTTATTTATAATAGATTCTAATAGATTCTAGTGTTTCTTATTGTAAGAGTCAGAGAGAGAGAGAGAGAGAGAGAGAGAGGTCTCTCATAAGATAATATATTCCTTGGTCTCATAGTATCTCTCAGAAATAGGATACATGCATTTAAAAAAATAATTTATATGAACCTCTTCTTCCACAAAAGGAGAGGCAACAGAGAGGTAATAGCATCACAGCCTGATCTAAGCACTTAGCATTTAGTTATAATATTTCTTGAACATCACCTATATATACTCTTACTGTCCATCCAAGTTTTGCTCCTTCCTTCACCCTCCTTCTCGGCCCATCTACAAATTTTCCTGTGAAATGTTTGTTTATTTTCTCTTTTCTATCCCACTAGCAGTACTGTTGTTCAAGTCCAAATTTTCTTTCTCTTGGAATAAATATTGCAATAATATCCTGAAAATTCAGCCCATTTCTGCTGAACTTTGTCTCCCTTAAAGCAGTCACCACAACAAACATCTAAAACCCTGAGCTAAGCAAGCCCATCACTTTTCTGCTTAAAATCTGGTGATTAATCAACTGGATAAAGTCCAAGCTCTTTAAATGAACAAAGACCACTCTTCCTGCTTTCTTATCCTCATCTCTCTAACTTCATATTTTGAAGCTCTGACTCTGAAAGCCCTGCATTTCTTCCATTTCCACCCTTCCCTCTTCCCATTGACCCCCACATACACCATGCACTTCCATGCTTTCTGTCCTTTGCTCATGATTTCTTCTCTTCCAGGAATAATCTGCCCTCACTTCCTCACTCCATCTAACTCCTACCCATCTTGAACTCTTCCACACATGACTAATTATCTTGGTAGTCTTTCCCACAAAGCCTGGAAGTAGCATCAGAATCCTTCAGCCAGAAACTATCCATCAATTGACTGGAGCTGACACAGATAAAGCCTTCTTGTGTTCACTGATCTAAATTATTGCTTTACTTCTCTTGTTTTATTCACTAGAAAAGGCTTGATTCCAATGAGTTTGTTAAGAAGTGTCAAGGACTCTAAAATGCTACATTGAACATCCAGACAGGTTTGATCATCAATCACTGAAAAGCATGTGAGAGGTTATCAGACCCTAAAGTACCATGAGCCAGCAATAAAACAGACTGAAACAAAAAAAGGGAAGGAGACCATTGGTTCTTTCTCAACTGAATCCTTCTGAGTAGAAGCCATAACATTATGAATGTGTTTCAGTACCAGACATTAAGCACCCTATAAATACTTTTAGAGAACACACAAGCCAAACTAATGTGCCGAGAGATTAGAGGAAAGTAAACTAGAAATGAAGCAGTTAGATAATTCAGAAATTTCTCAGCGAATTCAGGGTAAATGAAAGGAATGCAGATGCCAGCAGCCTACTTTTATTGTGAAGCCTCCTGGGAATCTTAATTATGAGAGCCAGAAAATAGCATTTAAGGGGAAGAAGTCAGAGTCAGTCTCCTTTCATGTAAGACCTCTCCTAATTCTGACATTTGTAAATCACTTATTTTTGACATCCAAGCCTTTAGATACATGAACTCCAACAATTATTTGGGTTAAGTAAAGCCTTATGTGGTTCCCCCTAAAGTTTTAGAACAAAATATGCAAAGTTTCCTATGACAAATGGAAAAATTATAATGATTAAACAATTCTATTCCAATACACCATCTTCCTATCTATTCTAATATTTTACTTTTCCCTTTCTTTTTTTCCTTTTTGATGACTAACAAAGCAAATGAATAATTTTGGTGTCTGTGCCATCTTATAATGATATAACTGCTCTTAGTTAATCAATATGTAGAGCTTGAGCAAAGTCAGGAGAATCCAAACATGTCAGAATGTTGCAGTATTTCATGTCAACATACAGTATTTAGAAAAACATACACCAAATTACAATCAGTGGTTATCTCAGGGTGGTTGAATTATAGGCTATTTTTTATTCGCTCTTTTTGCTTGTCTGTTATTTAAGATGTTTCTACAAGAGTTTAATTGAATTAGTTTTGAAATGACCATTTCCCCATTTCAAAATCCTT